ATATAACATATTGGTGTCAATTGTTCGATTAATTTTCTTTTAATTTAATGAGGTACAGATCTGATACGCAGCCATCCGAAAAGGACAGGTTAGGTCAGCTTCGTGGTTTTTTTATAACCACCCAAAAATAGGACCTTAAAAACAAAATTACAAGATTATATGTGGTGTTTCTGTAAGATGCAATTGTGAATGGTTTTTCTATTGGCGCGCTAATATTAACGTTCAATAATGCACGATTTCCAAGTGTAAAAAATAAAAGTAGACACATGTTTTTGATATTTTCTTTAAGTATCCTGTATCACAATATGCAATCTTACATCAAAGTAAAAACGTAAGTTTAGTTAACGTTTTTAGTAATAGTATTGTATTTCCGTAAAGGAGTTAAAAGTTTTAATATTTATTTTTTATGATAAGTAGGCACTATCGTATATTATTACTCGAAACATCTAATTATGGCAACATTTTTTTATCGTTTAAAAATATTTATAAGACAAAAGAACTGTGCCGCCAATCTGCACCATTACGTCTTTTTCTTTGGACCTTTCTTTAAATCGAATATTTCGGAATGAAAACCTCAGTTTATCAAAATAAATATAAATATAATAAATAGCAATTTAAAACTAAATTACTTTATACGTCTTTCAAAATGGTCTAGACAAATGTTGACAATCAAGATGGCAAACGAGTAATCGTAACGATACTGTATCTGATATCAAATTTAAAATACCGTATATGTGCGCATGGTTTCCAACAGTCGGCGAGAACTATAAATATAAACAAAGCTCAAACCGTTATATCAGATTTGATAGAACACATCTTTACTCATACGAATGAACAGAGATTTCAACCAAGCAGGAGTGGTAGGCAAATGAAATTAAAAATACATCGAAATCCAACAGAGATTGGGATTAATAAATGAGAGATTAATAAAACTAATTGACCCGTGGGAAATTTTCACAGTAACGTGATCGGTCATAGAATTTTAGTAAAATAATACATATAAATAAAAATTAAAATAATAACCTTTTCCAATACACTTCGCTATATTGCATTCAATAGATGGAATTATCATATTACATTCATTGAAAGAAATTTTTAAAAGAATTTTTTTTAATTAAAAAAAAAATTTACTTGTCTCTTTTTAAACATAAGGTTTAAAGTAGTAAATTGATGAATAATTATGGAAGTTATGGCGTACCGACAAAAAAAAACGCCTTTGAGAAACTCCCAAAACACCACTATTGCAAGAAAATTCAATTAGTGCGCAAATGACACGCAAACGTCTCACGTCGATAATTTTGTGAGACGCCTAATAAAGACGAATGTGTTTTTTTTTTTCTTAAATGTTTATGCGGTTACGGATTATACACAACTAGCGACCCGCCCCGTCTTCGCATGGGTGCATATTATACATATAAACCTTCCTCTTGAATCACTCCATCTAGTAAAAAAAACCGCATCAAGATCCGTTGCGTAGTTTTAAAGATCTAAGCATACATAGGGACAGACTGACAACGGGACGACTTGTTTATACTATGTAGTGATAATGACATTCGGACATCTAACGCCTCATTCTGTACATTTAACGATATTCTTCATTTTGCTTTACCGTGTCCGTTTCAAAGAATCGCGAATTTGTTCCGCATTATAATTTCATCGGTCGACTTCTTTCTTTCACTTCTGAAGCAATAATCAGCCGACCGCATTCGAATACGTACGCCCTAAATGCACTTATGTACATAAATTTTAATGCTAGTGGTATAGTACTCGAGGACAACAAATTGCGGCCTCAGGGATGTAAGTAATATTTATGACTAGCGAAAAACAAGGTCTAATTTTCCAGTGCGCTGTATTCACAAAGATTTGTGATTTTCTTAAAGATGTCAATGTTTTAGTATAAGTTTGACACGAAACCTTTTCTAAGTGAAATTGTTTTACGGAATTATGATATTTGTTTCATACTCGTTGGCAAATCGTTCTATAGATATATTCATCCAAAAACTTTAACAGTACATTCAAATAAATTATCACATGTCCATAATGCGTTCTTGTTCTTCTCTTTTTCTCACACATTTTTGATTTTATTTTTTTACCAGTTTTTGTTCTTAATAGATTTTTTTTGAACTATAAATTGTGGATGAAACAATTTTTCGATGACATCGTAGCATGTCGTGTTCGCATATTTTTGGCTGACAGTATGTAGTCGTTTACCTCATTTAACTTTAGTATTATGTGTACATTACTGTTCCCTGTTTTGTGTATCAAATAAAAAATAAACGTAAAATATTTAAGTTCCATAACGTATAAATATTTATTCGGAAAATCCGCAAAAACGCTTTAGGTCCGAAAAAGTTAGTACTTTTACTGACGTAGAAGTATTTTAACAAACGAAGTACCTACTTGTGACATATTTTTCGAAAGAAATGCGGTTTACATTCGATTTCTGTATCGGCAGTTGAGTGTTGAGTTATCCGACAGTTGAGCTATGGATACAAATAAATCTATACCTACTCAATAACGCTTGCTACGATGCGCTTTCCAAGCCACCCGTCACGGTTAGCAAATAAACGAGACACTTGCGAGAAAAAATGGGTACTTGGTACTTCACACGCCCGCAAGACAAAAGCGCTGTTACACTTAACCCAAATAAAATTTTTTAACATACGTCTTTTCACATGCGGCGATTTTTCGATTATAAATTTTATAGTAGTATTACACCTTGTTATAAATATTTATATATGTAGAAAGATAGCGGAAAGAGTAAAAAATTCAATAATAAAGACTACGCGTTCTTAATGTCTACGCTCTATCATCATCAAAAGAAAATTACTTTTATTTTTGATTTATATCATATTATTCATGTCCATCTTGAATATAATTTGATGAAGCAGCCTTCAATAAAAAATATTTAGAATGCCTTGTCCTGACTCTGTGTACTTCAATTTTAAACTGCTTATTAAATATCGTATTTGCACCTTTTTTGGCTTTTTATATACTGTAGCCAAAGGCTTTAAAAGAAAACAAAGTGGTTGGGCAATTGTATCGCGTAAAATATACATTTCGCGTTATCGTTCATGATGAACAGAAATAGCGGCGTTGTGATAAATTTCATAAAACAATGCTATAACCCTTTCAATATTAAATTCACTTTGGCAGAAATTATATCGTTTACGGTTACGTAGAATTTGTTTTTGTACATCGTTTTTCATTACTAGGTTTATTTTATGTAAGACAAAATGTTACTAAGAAAAAAAAAAAGATTACTAATTAGAATCGTCTTTTGACTGTTAACTGGAAGTAAAGTTTTAATTTTTTTTAATGTGAACGATTTTTTGATAAGAGTTCTAGCTTTCATTCTAGCTAATCATTTCTAGCTTTAGATCCCAGTTGAAATGGTTACTAATACGTCGCCGTCGAAATTTGCATGTGGTATCCCACACTACTCAATTCTCAATAATCCTGCGGCTCCTCAGTACCTCCGTGAGCGTTTTGAGTACATGGTGCCGTGGTCAACCTGTCGTGAGATCAGATCCCTTCTTTTAAAATTACCCTCGCACTCCTCTTCCTGTTTTGGCGGCTCTTTTACAATGCACGCAGTGCATCTTTGGAATTCGTTACCTAACAATATCCGCGCCAGTCCCTCATCGGATGTTTTCAAGAATAGAGGTAAGGAATTCTATTTATCCGCATAACGTATTTTTCTTCGCGATATGTTTTGTTATTATCTTCTATTTTTATTTACTATATATGCTATGTATTATGTATATTTACTTATAGATATATTTATGTACATATATTAATATATATATTTATGTAAGATATGTTATAGTAATATCTGTCTGCACTGAACATTTCAAGCTACCTTCAATCGCCTATTTTCTCACCAGCTGCTGGCAGAGAACTCATGCTTAAGCTTACCTTTTGAACATTATTTTGATTTTTCATATTTTTTGTATCTCGTGTTTTGTGTAGAATAAATATGTAAAAAAAAGAGTTTCAGAAAAAATGGGGAAGCCTTATTTCAATTTTACGGATCAACGATAAGTTTACTTATGAGAGAAATCACTCCAATTCGATCTGTTTCTATAATAGCTATCGCTGACTCCATGAGCCACATCTACTAGTTGTCTAATGACTTGTTCGTGACTTGTGGAATCAACTCGCTGCATTTGGAGGTCATTTTCTTGTTTTATCATTCACAGATACGGAGACTTATCATGTTAAGTGCATTTAGTTGCAGTTAACGCCGAAATTTATAATTGTGTTTGTTTAAAATGATACCACTCAATTCAGCGTTAATTAAAAATGGTTTTATATCTGTGATTAAGCAAATTCCCAAAAACTGTGGCTAGTTATTAGAAAAAAATCATCTACGTCATAGGAAAAGCAGCTAAGGTTAAGGGACTACTAAGCTAAGTAAAGCGAAATTTTCCAATCGTATTCAACGAAGCTTGAAATAAATAAGAATACTAATTATCCTTCAAGGGCCGATTTGCTGAACGATAGAGACAGTATTCCCCAATTAATTACAGATAACTGACCCTTCAAAATCTTTTTATATTAACGTTTTCAAGGCCAAAATCATCATCATTATTAACAAAAACACAAATAACGACTTCAGTATGCTTATCAACACTCACATTGAAACTCAGTTTCTTTTACACAGACATATTTACATTGTCTTAAATGTATTGATTTCTTGTTTTTATTCGAATATCATACAAAGTTAAATAAAACTATTTTACACATTTTACAGCTTTGTAATTTAATTTTAAATTCCGGATGTTTTAAAAACTTTCCAGATTACAGCCTTAAATACCTTAGTATAAATGAGAGAGATTAAAAAAAGTAATGAACATAATGCTTATAGCAGCGGATTCATTTAAACCCCTAGAACGTTATCTACGCCAGGATTAACTTCAATTCAACTCTAATACTTATACACATATATGTAGATATAATTGCGTTAGAACAATATAGTTAAACGTTTTGTACGGTACCTTGAAAGCTCCATCCTTGCGATTGGTAAAATCCGTTTATTACGTTTTCCACTCTATGATCCAACTCATCATTCACGACATGATTATAATTTGTACACAACGGTAGAGGAAACACTCATGGATAGAACTAAGCACAGCGTTAACTGAGCCGAAGATGTGTACAGCGCTATCTCGATTGCACTAACATGAGGATTTCGAGTCATTACGAACGGTTTCAACGAAAGTGGTGGGAGGAACGTTAACTCGGCGTTGACGTCATTAACAACGTACTCAGATTCGATGGTTGAGTTGAAAGGAGGTTATTAACCGCTTTAATGGATAAATCAGTTGAAGACAAAAATCAACGAAGCCTTACTGTGGTGTCTCGTTTGATGCAATTGTTAGGCTATAGGCTCTGGTGCCTTGTCGTGGATACAATGTGAAACCCTCTGACATAGTTACCGATAATTTAATCCATATTCTACTTCTTGGCTATCATGGTTACGACATCCCAGGCACGACTTTCTATCGGAAACATATGTGTGTCAGTGTTTTATAATGCTTCAGTAATGATAGACTTGTGGATGTGAAGTAGTTGCTTGAATGAATTAGTGTTATCAGAATTTCAATTACATTTACACCTCTTGTGTCAGATTTAGCACATATAAAGAACATATGCCTCTTGGTTCAACCACATTTATTGAATCGTGACTACCTGGCACATTGCCAGCATGATCGTTTCGGGGAAAACCCGGTATAATTTATAGCTTGTTATCCTCAAAACAAACCGATAGTACTTAAAATTTGGCTAAAGAACTTTTAAATCGTAAAAAGCTATAAATATTTTACACCGCGTGGTACACTCTGTTAGACAGTCGGTGCCGTGCCTTATATTAAATAAAAATACTAAGCCCAAATTCGCCCTACTTTAATGAGAATGAAAACTTGAAACCAAGTTTTACTAAGCTACTTTATGTTATTTCATTAGTACCCAGTCCATTTAATACATGGCATATAATATCAGTTAGCATAATAAGCACGCATGATTCATAAAACGCACACACACAAACCAACAGCACAACTATAACTTACTTTAAACTGCATTATTTTTATTTGGTTTCTCGCATTTACTGTTACGTACTGAGCATAGCGCCTTACTGAAATTATTAATGATGGCGTAAGCAAAAATGCAGATGAATGTATTGCTATAATGTATCATGTCATCGTTTTTTTTTTATTATTAAAGCAGATGACGTCTACCTGTTCCAGGATATGATATGCAGGTCTTATACTGGCGGATATATAGGACGGCCTTAGGATTTTTAGGGTATAAATTCAGAATAAAAATCGGCTCGCTTGTTTGTTATATTCATCGTAGTTCATTCTTATATAATTAACATTTGCTGGTATTGTGCTTCATTCCGTGCCCAAAAGATAAGCCAAGAGATAAGCCCAAAAGATAAACAAAAGACAAACAACAAACATGTCATATTCATTGTAGTTCATTTATAAGCATAAATAATATATGCTGGTATTGTGCCTCATTCCGTGCCAAAAGGATTAGCAATCGTCGTTTAATATAATAAATTTAGTGTAAAATTAGATTATTCTCTTCTAAGCCGTCGGTCGTGGGTTCGATTAACATAAAAAAGAAAAACAATAATGATTTTTATAATTACAGCTCAACAATAATGATTTTATTGGTGATTATGAACTTATTTACATGTTAACCGACTGCATCTGTTAGAGACAATAGCTTCATTCTGTCGTGAGAGTAATGCGCTGCGCTTTCATATTTTACTGAAAATTTATAGGGTCCACAAGTCAAACTCGACCTTGGCCTGTTTTTTAATTATTTTTTTACACGATACAAGATTACATAGTCGGATTGATTACTCAGAAGAATGTCGATTGCACTCAAATATCCCACATTTCACAATTTTTATCCGGTTGTATGGTAGCCGTCAATCTTGTCAGATTGTCAACTTTTTATTGGTCTCGCTTCCGAGATAATATAATATACAAAGAAATTAATTTTAACCCATACTCAATAGCAGAATGTTGAGTGAAATGTATTGTAAAACTTCCGTTTCACAAATCAAACACAGGATGGCGCTGTTTAATTTTGAATAGCGCTGGAATAGCTATGGAAAATCGACGAGAATGGGTTGAAGGTGTGGTTTTGGTTTAAGTTTTAACGCGTTTTTTTTTTTTTTTTTTTTTTTTTTTTAATTTTTGCCTAAAGTGAACTCTAATAGTGAAATTCACTATTCTCTCGACAATCCAAATTCGATTTTCAGTGGGCTCAAACTGAAAGCCTACAATTATTAACCATATCAATCTCACGGGCACAGAGTTTTTCCCGAAAGGTAAAGGTCAATAATGTTTTGGAAAAACCATTTCGATTCCTTGTCCATTGCTGTATAAAAAGAGAACCTACAAACGGAACTTGACATAATCCATACTAATATTATAAATTCGATAGTAGCTCTGTCTGTCTGTCTCGCTTTCACGCCAAAACTACTTAACCGGTTTTAAAGAAATTTAGTACACAGATAGTCTAGAGCCTGAGAAAGGACATAAGCTATTTTTAACTGTAATTTTTTTTAAAGAAACATTTATTTAAGGGCTTTAACGCGAGCGAAGCTGCGGGCAAAAAGCTAGTTGGGTATACTTAAATATTAGGAAATTATAATTCTAGGCTCCGATGTCTGATTGTGGTATGGCGTAAATTGATGACAAATAATTAACGAAATACAAATCCGCAGTAGAACAAAGGTAAACGACATAGCTCAGAAGGTTAGTAAGCTGAAGTGGCGATGGCGGCCATGTACGAGTAGCCTCGTACTGGCCTTCGCAGTGTGGGACGACCCCCCACTAGATGGAGTGACGACACCTGTACAAGTGTGCGGGGAAGTCGGTGGATGCAGGTAGCTCAGGATCGTACTTGGTGGCAGTCTATGGGGCAGGCAGTTCAGCAGTAGACTCAAACAGGCTGACATGATGATGATGATGAAATACAAATATTTGTAAATCTCGTGCTGTGGCCTAGTGAATAGGAAAAACTGTCGCATTCCACATCCGAGTGGAATCTGCTTCAAAAATTGTTGGTTTGTTATTAGTTTGCTTTGCGAGTTCTATACGATTGCTTGTGTTTACCGGTTCAGCGAAACCATAGCGTGCTTTAAAATTGATCAACGCCATCTCGTGCTTCATTTCTTAAACAGAATATCCACAACAAATTCCAATATTTACAATCAATTGAACTATTTAATGTAATGGCCTTGTATGAATTCAATCTCGGGAAATTTTATACCAAATAACGGTATAGTCACACATAAACAAAAAACATGATAGAAATATAGCGCCGTATAGTTCGCATAAAGCATAGATAAATCTCAATGACGCGATATGTAAAACATGAACGTCTGAAAATATCATTCTCAACCATATCAAAATTTTATTCGTACCGAGCGAATGTCTTAACAAACGGTAAATTAAATCTCTGTTGGTCTTACTAAAGTCGGTTTTATGTTATGTTACCTAGATATTGAGTGAACCGTATAATATCCCTACTTTAATTATAGATGCGATTTCCATTACATAGGCTTTCTTACTTGTACACAACGGTGGTCAAGGAAACCTAAACACATTTTTGTATTGGCTTTATCTTCCGGAAAAAAAACTCTGATTCCTTCAGATTGATACGGTTCATAATTATAAACCTTTTTTTTTTTTGAGGTCATTAAAAAATCAAACCATCCTAAGCAAATGCTATCCTCAGATGTAAAACAATACACAATAAAATTACTTTTTAAGTCGAAATGAAAATTAGGAATAAAGACATACCTAATTACTGTAACGATCAAAGTGTAATTAAAATTCGTAGAAAAAATATCCCATTCTAAATGCAGAGATGAGCACTATGTATGTATTATATATAATTTAAAGAACCCACTACGCCACCCGAAAATGGATGGGCATAATTATATAGTACATACATACAGGTCAAATACACAACTCTCCTTTTTTTTTTGATTCGACGCAGGGTGATAAAATAAATGTGCATTCTAACAATATATGAAGTCAATTTTCTTTTTATTGTTAAATATAAATTTGTTTGAATTAAAACAATAGGTTGTTTTGTGTCGGTAAATTTATCAATAACACGGTTCATGAGAGAAAAATACGATAAACATTTATTTTCAAACATGTCACTTAGTAAGTGCCATTTCAGGGATTTAGTGCTAAGGCCGTAGCGTTATATGGCAACCAGTCGAAATTTAGGCTTCATTTGTTAAATTAAAGTTAATTGCGCTCAGGGCAGCAACATACATTATGCAGTAATATGTGTTACTGTGTTCGCGTAATGTGTCTTATTGTAATTTAAGTATAATTATTTTGAAAATTTATTTATGATAGAAAAATATAATGCAGTGAAAATTTGATGAAAACACGGAGTAATTTCTTTATTGTTCTTTTTTTTTAAAGTTCGTGTCACAAAGAAAGAGATTAGATAAGTAAAGACTCTACACCAAAAGACATGGACGAGTGCATGTAAATTAAAACAATTACAACATCAGTTTGCACATTAATACACAGTAAGTTTGCTTTTTATATAGAATAAAAGTTACGGGAAGTATGCTTCTATTCCGGGCTTAATCCGAGTATTGGAGCAAATTTGAAAACTCACTGTACGAAGCTGTATTAATTTTTATTTTGCTTTTAGATGTAAAATTTTAGGAAAGGTTCGCCATACATAGGGGTGAGTATTCATTTTCATTTTTGACGGCTTTTATCAGAGCGTGCTTGGATTTTTTTTACAAAGTGAACCTTTATATTTTTATGATCCATTGTTCTGGTTTAAAATGTGGGACACTGCTCTAAAATAACCATAGATGTGACTGTACTAAGATATATACTAAGTTTTTTGTTCAATAAACTGGAAGCAATTTTGCATTACAAGCAATTGTGTCCTAAACCCTGTAAAAGATGATAATCATACATACCAAAACTTGTAGAAAAAGTACGAAAA